ATATTTTTTTTTTTTTTTTTTTTTTTTTTTTTTTTTTTTTTTTTTTTTTTTTTTAAATTAAAATTCTAATTATTATTTTAAAATAAAAATCTTAATATATTTTTTTAACATAATAATATATGTTAACAATTAAGTTTAAGAAAAGAATTATTTAATAGTAATTGTTATTTTTTAATTAAATTTAATGTAAATTATTAAGAATCAACATTACTTTTGGTCACAGGTTAAAAGTTATAATTTTTTTGATCATATTTATTTTCATTTTCATTTTCTTTTTTTTTTGTTTTTGTTTTTGTTTTTATATTTTTTTTTTTTTTTTTTTTTTTTTTTTTTATTTTTTTTTTTTTTTTTTTTTTTTTTTTTTTTTTTTTTTCATAATATATATATATATATATATATAAATATATGTATATATATATGTATATATATTTTTATATATATTTTTATTTTTTTTTAATTTTTTTTTTTTTTTTTTTTTTTTTTTTTTTTTTTTTTTTTTTTTTTTTTTTTTTTTTTGTTTAATTTTTTGTTTTTTTGTGTTTGTTTTCATAATCATTTGTTTTTGTTTTTGTATTTTTTTTTTTATTTTTTTTTGTCTATAAATTTTTTATGATGGTAATAAAAAAAAAGAAATGATTCAATATAACGTAAATAATTTTGAAATACCAAAAGAGGTATTTAATAAAAATATTAGTAAAATACAATCACAATTATATAGTGTATCTAAGTTTACTTTTAATAATTTAGAAAAATCTAAAAACGAGAATTATGAAAAAGATAAGAAAAATAAAATTCTTGTTAATAGAATTAAATTTAATAAAAAAATAACTGTACCAAAGGAAGAAAAAAATGCAAAGTACATCAGAAAAAATAAAGAATCTAAAATATCAAATAAAATAAATAAAACTACTAATCTTATTAATATTCCTGAAAATGTGAATAAAAAAAATGTTGATAGAAATAAATCGAATAAAATAGAAAATACATTAAATAAGTATACGCAATTATGTAATAAAAGTAATAATAATAATTGTAATAATAATAATGAAAATAAGTATAATAATAATGATAATGAAAATAAGTTTTTAAATTATAATGATTTAAAAAATAATTCCTATTTAATTAAAAATAATAGTTGTTATTTAAATGAAAAAAAAATTAAAATTTGTGAATTAGATAAAAAAATTTATAAAAAAAGTGATATTTTGTTTAATTTAAGAAAAATAGATAATTCATCAAAAATAAACGCCAAACAAACTAAAAAATTAATATGTGAATTAAAAGATAAAAATAACTCAGATGATTATATGAAAAAAGAAAATAAATTTATAAGTAATGATAATAATAGTTTTAGTGACTGTAGTAATTATATAACATATCAAAAAAATATTAATCATATTATAGATTCCGATGATGAATGGATTAAAAAAGACAACTATGCAAATAATATAAATCTTGATGAGAAAAAAAAGAAAAATAATGAATATTATTCTATTAAAAATAGTGATATATCATCATTTAATAAATTGAATGAAAAAAATACTAGAGTTAAATTAAAGGATATAGAAAAAGTAAAAAATAATTCATTAAATTTATTTTTAAATTCTAATACAAAAAAAAATAATTCTAATTATTTATATATGAATATCAACAATAAGAAAAAGTATTCTTATAAAAATATCAATAACAAAAAATATAATAACAAAATAAATATAAATTCTTTTGAGAATAAAAAATTAAACGAAATTAAGCTATTTTCTCAAGATAAAAATAATATAGAAAAAAAAAAAATAGATAATTTAGAATTGAGAAAAGATGTTAATGTAAAAGGTAAATATATGAAAAATATGCCAAAAAAAATAATATTTGAAGTAAATAAAAAGAATAAAGAAAATTTGAATAAAGATTATACAAAAAAAAAAAACATAGTTAATAAAAAATTACACGTAAATAATAACAAAAATGTAAGCGAAAAAAAAGGTAACACCAAAATTATTTCACCTAATGTCTTACTTTCCAATCAGATCAATTTAGAAAAAAAAGAGAAATGCAAAAATATAAAGGTTAATAATATCGTAAAAGAAGATTGCATTAATAAGAAAAATGATATTTTTGATCATTTTAATAATAAAAGAATAAATAGTGACAACAATGAAAGTAATATATATGTGAAATGTAATTTTAATAATGATGAATCAAGAACAAATGATAAAGTAAGATCTAAAGATACTCACATTTATGCATATAGTATAAAACAGGAAGGTGAAAATAATTCATTGAATTTTGATAAAAATGAAAAAAATATTTTTGATGATAATGAATATGAAATGAATTTAAATAAATTATGTTTTAAATTTAAAAATAAAATAATAGACGAAAAAAATGAAGATCGAAATGTAGATTACAAGCAAAAAAAAATTGAAAATAGTAACATTTTTCATTATAATACTAATAATATTGAAAATGTAAATAAAAATAATAAAAACAATATTAATAATTTTAATTACAATAATAATGATTATATTAAACAAATTCATGATATAAACTTCATTAACTGTAGTAATAACACTCAGTTTATAAATGAAAATGTTAGTAGTAACATAATAGGCAAAAAAAGATCTAAAAGTGTAAATTATCTAAAGGATAACAAATTTTTTAATTCATTAATAGTTACCAATGAACTTCGAATAAAAATGTGTTATAGTAATAATTATGTAGATTTTAAAAAATTAAATTATGGAAATATTTATGAAGAAAAAAAAGATGAAAATACTTTTTTTCCAATCAATCATGATAGTTTTTTAAACTCAAGTGATTTGTTTTTTATATCAGTAGATTCAGATAAAACAAAATCAAGTACTCTACAAAAAAAAAAAAAAAATTCACATGTGAACTTAAATGATTTTAATAATTTAATAACAGACAATTTAAAACAAGAAAGTTTTCATAATTCTTATTTTGGGGGTATTAATAGAAGTTATTCAAATTCTTTGAATATTAATGAAATTGATGACAAATTTAATTTAATAAATGAATATTTAATCGATGAAAGTAATTTAAATAAAAATATGAAAATTGAAAATTCAATTTATAAAAATGATACATTTGTTGATAAGAAAAATAAAGAAGATGATTCTGCATTTTTTTCATTAGCAGATAAAATTAAGGATGAAAAAAAATGTAATTATGAAAAATTACAAACTGGAGAATGTTATGGTTCTATAGAAAATAATTTAAAAGATATAGAAGAAAAAAAAAAGTTTTGTAATAAAAAAGATTTTTTTGCATCTGATAAAGTATTAGGTAATTCAAACATAATTAATTTGAATATTTTTAGAGAAGTTTCAAAAGATAAAGGTTTAGCTGCTATAAATGTAGAAAAAACATATATCAATGATGATTCTTTATTAATGAAAAAAAAAAAAAGTAAAAATAATAATACCACTGTTATACAGACTGATAATTTGAATATAAGTTGCATTTCATCTGATAATGAATATTCAACATCAAAAATATTAAAATATGATAAAGGTTCTTTAGAAGACATTAAGAGAAATATTTTAAGTTATGATAAAAAAAAGAAAAAAAAAAAATTGAATTGTAAAGAAGGAAAACAAAACAAAAAAAATAAAATATCGAATAAAATTAAAGAAAAAATTGAAAGTGATAAAAAAGAATTTATTAAAAATACTAATAATGATAGGATATTAAAAAGAAAAAATCATTTGTCATTATTAAATACTGAAAAAATAAAAAATATGTCTATAATTAATTTAAAAAAAGAAATCAATGATACTTTAAATATGAAAGATTCTGATAGTATAATATGCAAACCAATTAAATCATCAAATAAAAATAGTAACAAAAAAAAAAAAAAAAAAAAAAAATTTGATAAATTGATAAGTTGTAAGATAAAAGAAGGAAATAATTTATTAAGTGGTTGTAAAAAAAATAATAATGTATTATCTTTGGATTTAAATGATTTAACTAATGAAAAGAAACAAAAAATGAAATCGATAAAAAAAGTTAAAGTGATTAAGGATAATAATTTTATAAATAATGAAAAAAAGAATGATTCAATTATTAAAGTAACTGATAAATGTTCTGATATAGTTAGTAAGAATTTAAAAAATAAGAAAAAAAAAAAAAAAAAAATAATAACACAAAAAAATAAAATAAAAAAATCATCGAATTACTTAAATTTAACAAAAAATTATGAAAATAGTAAAAATATAAATTTTATCATGAACAAAAATGATAAAGAAATGGTCATAAATGATTCTCTTAAAGAAGTAAATAAAAAAAACAAAAATGCATTATTAACCTTCATGAAAAATAACGAAAATATAAAAGAGGAAATTCAAAAAATATATAACAAATTAAAAAGAAAATCTTCGATAATAAAAGATGGGAATTTATTAATGAAGTATGACAATACCTCTCTTGTAAAAAATAAAGATAAGCTTACTAAAAATTTCGTTAAAAAAAATGTTTATGAAATTCATAATAATATAAAATTTAAGGATAAAAATCAAATTCATCAATTTTCTACATTGAAACTCTTAATAAGTAAAAAACATAAAAAGGGTATTATAAAAATAGAAAAAGAAAAAAAAATTACAAAGAGTTTAAAAGCAGATTTATATAATACAAGAAAAGGGAATAAAGATAAAGGAAAAACTAGTTTTTTCTATAAAAAAAAATTAGAAAAGAAAAATTTTGGTGATAAAGTTAATTATAAAAATGATTTAAAAATATGTAATCCGAAGTTTCCTTTTAATAATAAAAACATAAAATTAAGTAACTTTAATTTTAAAAATAATTATGAAATTGTGCCAATCAAATCGAAAGTTTCCAATAGTAAAGGAAAAAAATATTCTGAAAAAATAAAATTTAAAAATAATGAAAAATATACATTAAATAAAAATTTGGTAGATATGAATTACATAAAAAATATAATGGGTAATATTAATTATGAAAATGATTCTACTGATTCATGTTTTTATAAAAATTTGAAATTAAAAGACAAAAAACAAGTAAACATATTAAATATTTGTTACAATAATAATTTATCAATAAATTATATTGAAAAAGATAAAGAAAAAATGTGTTATACGAAATCTTTAGAAAATAGAAATGAATACTCAAATAAAAATTATAAGAAAAAAAAATTAGAGAATAAAAAAAAATATACCTTAAATAAAATAAATATTAAAAAAATTATTAAAAAAGTTAATAAGAAAAAAAAAAAAAAATTCAAAAAAACCAAACAAAAATTAAATCTTACTACATTTATATGTGATGAAAAAAAAGAAAAATTTCTTTTTAATTTATCTAAAATAATTAAACCTTTAAAAAGAAATACTTTTAGTAAAAACCCCTTTGAAAAAAATTATGAATATTTATTTTTTTGTCAGAAAGAAAATACAATTAATTGTGACTTAGAGGACAGTTTAAATAAAAAAAAAAAATTAGTAGAAAAAGAACAAATAAATGAAAAAAAAATAGAAATCAAAAATATTGAATTTCAGAAAAAATCAAATGAAGAAATTAATTCAGAGAAACAATTAAATAAAAATAATTGTAATGTAAAAGAAAAAAATACCTTTTTAAAACAACATAATTTATACAATGAAAAAATAGAAAATGATTTTACCTTGAAAGATAATGTATATTTAATATATAACATGAAGAATAATTTTAATACAAATGTTCATAAAGGTAAAATTAGTTCAAAGAATTTAGAGCAAAAATATAGTAATTTATTACATGAAAATAATATATGTGAAAAAAAAAAAGAGAAAAAATTCCATTACTTAAATGAGAAAAAAAAAGATATTCATAACTCAAAAGAAAATAACATAAACAAAACAAAAAGTAAAAATAAGGAAATAATAACGGATTTAATGAAATCTAATAAATGTACTTTTGAAAAAACTGTAAAATCAAATTCACATATATCTGACTCTATAAAAAATCTAGAAACACTATTTTCTTCTAATTGTAAAGATATATTTAGATATAAATCAGAAAATTTAAATAGCAACACAAATCACAGTAGTTTTAGTGAAGTTAAAATATGTAAAGATGACTGTATAGATAAAAAAGGAAAATATTACAATTCAAGTGGTTTATCTAATATTGTTCCTAATCATATTAATGAAATACATGAAAATTATAATAGTAGCAATGATAATAATGATTATAATAATAAAGACAATATCAGTCATAAAAGTAATAGTAATACTATTAATAGTTTTACTTCTAATAATAGCAATATATTTATAAATAATGAAAATATTAAGGAAGATATAAAAGAAAACATGTTAGAAATGAATCCTAAAAATTTAATATCTAATTTAAAAGATGAAATAAATACTACTAATGTAGAAAAGTATCCAGAAAGATTTATGCTGAATTTAGAAAAATATGTAACGAATCATCGTATAAATGAAATAAGTTTAAGAAAAATAATTTTGAAAAATAATACAAGCAATTATTTAAGTGATAAAAAAGGAAAAAATAATTATGAAAAAAACTTAAAAAATTTTCCACATAAAAATAAAGAAAAAACACAAGAAATAGTAAGAAAAGAAATTAAAACAAACATAAAAAGTATTTTTCCTTTGGAAAAAGAGAAATATTTATGGTGCTCCAATGATGTAAATATAAAAGAAATTAATCATGATTATATGAACTTTAAGAAAAAAAATTTAATTAATAATAAAAATTCCCAAAAAAAAAAAGAATATCCAAATGAAATTAAAAAAGTTGAAGATATAAATAATAACATAATATTTTGTTCTAATTTCTTTCATAGTAATTCTCCAAAACAAAATACATTAAATAAAAATGATACAAATATGATAAGAACTTTTACAATTAAGGAACTTTTATCAAATAAAATAAAACAAATAAAAAAAAAAGAAGGAATTCTTAGAACTATATCTATGAATAATATTTGTAGAATTGTTTTTCCGAAAAGTAACCTTTTTAATTCAAATAAAAAAAATAATAATTTAAATAAAATAAAAAATAAAAATAATAATAAAAGATCCAATAGTACATTATTAATTAATAATTATAAATCATTTCCATATAAATTAAATAAAACAAAAAGCTTAATTTACATAAAAAATAATAATAAACACATAAATTATAATTCTAATAATAAAAATATAAATGGTAAATTTAAAACAAAGGAAAATTATATTAATTCTAAAACTCTTAAGTTACCACATGATGAAATTTTTATTTATTCATTTAATTTAAATAACAAAAAAATTTATAAAAAACAAATAAAGGAGAATATTACTTTAAAAAAAAATAAATTTTATACAAATGAAAAAATTCAAAAAAACAATTTATTGAAAATGGGAAGTAATTATAATATTTTAAAAAGAAATATAGTAAATAAATACAATAAAAAATATAATTTAAATAATCATAACATGAATTTTTTTAAAAGAAAAAAAAGTTCAACATTCTTTAAAACAAGTGAGAAAATTTCTAATAATTTAAACAAAAATATAGATGATAATGAAAATATTTTACAGAAAAAATATCCAATTAAAAATAAAAATATAGATGAAAGCAAAAAAATTAAAAAATGTTTTTCATTGTTAAGTGAAAAATTAAATAGAAAATTTTCTTTTACAAATATCAACTTATTAAAAAATGAAAAGGGAAATCAAAATCATTTTAAATCAACTCCATGTTTTCTTTTTGAAAGCACAATGAAGAATAATAAGAATAAATCTGAAGACAACATAGATATTAAAAAATAAATGAATCTAAAACTTTTAATAGATATAGACTACATACAAATAATTTATACATTTTAAAAAATAAAAACAATCATAAATGTATAAAATATTGATGTATAACAAAAATGGGATATATTTATCAAAGAATTATACCATCATTATCATTTTTGTAATAGTATGACATTTATTCTACTAGTGTAATACAAATTATTTTAAAAAGTAATATTATCATATGATTAATAAATTAAAATGAAATAACAAAATAAAGAATTATTAAAAATTAAGTATTCTTTCATTATGAAAAAAAAGAAATTAAAAATTGTAAAACACAAATTTACAACAATTACAAAAAAAGAATATAAATACATATTTAGTTTCCCAATTTATAAATTAATTTTTTAAAATTAGAAAAATTAAAAATAAAAGAAATGATGTGAAGAAAAATAATTTTAAAGCATTTTAAGATGGTTAAAACTTCTTTAATATATATAAGTATATATATTACTTTTATGTTTTAGAAATTGTGTTATTTTTATATCATTTTATTTTTTTGTATAAAAATATAATAGTTCTATAGTTTTATTATAAAAAAAAAAAAAATTAAATGAAAGTTATTGAATTTTTTTTTATTATTATAATAAATAAATTAAATTTTAAATAAGAATTAAAGAGCTTTTAATTATATATATATTTTTTGATACATATATGGATAAAATTATCCATTATCATTATTTGTTTATTTGTTTTTTTTAATTAATGATTTATTTTTTAGTATTATTTCTTTATTTATTTGTTTATTTTTTTTTTTTTTATATATTTAATTATATTAAAACTTATGTTAATATCATCAAAGACTACTAAAGTATGCCATTTTGAACTAAAGGTAGATGTTAAAAATAAAGGAAAAAGTATAAATTTAATTATAACAAAAAAAAAAATTAAGTATAAAATTATTTTTCTAAAAATTTATTGTTTCTTATATTTTAATTAAAGAATACCATTTTCAAATTTATATTAAAATAAAAATTATGTACTTTATATTAAGGATGAATAAAAAAAAATATATCTATAGAAGATAAAACATACGAAGTTTTTTTTTTTTTATAATATTTTTTTAAAATGTTTTATATAATAGAAAAAGTAAGAATAAAAAAATAAACAGAATATTTGTGAATGATTTTTTTTTTTTTTTTTTTTTTTTTTAAAAAAAAAAGAAAATTTCACAAATATTTAAAAGTAACAATATTATATAGAAAAGTTATAAGGAAAAAAAGTAAAAGAATTATTTGGAAAAATTAATATATATAATTTTTATAAATAAATAACAAAACAAATAATAAAATTAATACAATTTAGAAAATTTGATTTTTTTTTTTTTTTAATTTTTCATTATAGAAGTCATTTTAATTATGGTATAGAATAAAAAAAAAGAAAGAAAGAAAAAATGAATGTAAATGTATTTTATAATTTTTTATATTATCTTTTTTCATAAAGAAATAGCTAAAAATAATATTTAAAAAAATGTTGATTTTTACTTTATATTTTATTTTCTAAATTTTTTTTTTTTTTTTTGCAGAATGTGTCAGATAATACTAATAAGAGAAAATTAAATAATTATTTGAAAAATAAAGAGAGAATAAAAAAACTAAAAATAGAAAGAAAAGAAAATGCAAAAGGAGATTTTACAAAAAAAGAAAATGAAAAAGGAGAATTTACAAAAAAAGAAAATGAAAAAGGAGAATTTACAAAAAAAGAAAATGAAAATATAAATGATAAAGATAAAAATTACAATTTAAAAAAATATGCATTATGTATTGGTTATATTGGTAGTAGATATCACGGATGTCAAGGACAAAGTAAAGAAGCAGCAACAATTGAAAATGAACTAGAAAGAATATTATTAAAAATAAAAGCAGTGAAAAAAAAAAATAAGGATTTTAATTTTTGTCTATCAAGATCAGCGAGAACTGACAATGGCGTTCATGCTTTGTATAACGTTTTTGTTTATAATATTGATCTTGATTGTATATATTTAAATAATGATGAAATAAAAAATGATTTAGAAAAAGAAGAAAATAATGAAAAGACAGATAATAAAAATAATTATGACTCAAAAGATGAAAATAATAAAGAAAATGAACATAATCTTATTAGAGATAATAATAAAGAAAATGATAATAATTTTATTAGAGAAAATAATAAAGAAAATGATAATAATGGTTTTGTTATTTTGAATAATAAAGAAAATGTTTCACATAATGAGAGTATAAAAATTAATGATATATTTGATGAAAGAAGAAAAAAAGAAGAGGAATTTAAAAAATTATTAAATCTTCATTTACCTTTTGATATAAAATGTTTTGATATTTTTAAGGTAACAAAAAGTTTTGATGCTAGAAAATTCTGTTCTTTCCGATTATATGAATATCTATTCCCTATTTATGTTTTGAGTGAAGTTGAAGTAAGTCATAAATACAAAAAAATATTTAATGAAATTATTGAAAATATAGATGAATATGTTCAAAAAACTAAAGATATAAAAAAAAATAAAAATAAAAACGTAAATCATAATTTAAGTGATATGAAAAGTGGTGAAAACGAAAAGAAGAATAATATGTTAGAGATGAAGGATGATTGTTATAATGTTAAAAATAGTAATGAACAAAATTATATAGAAAATAAAAAAAGTTATATGCAAAAAGAAGAAATTTTTACAATCAAAGAATATAAAGAAGAATTAACTGATGAAGAATTAAATACCTTTTTTGAAATATTTAATAATTATACAGGTTTTCATAATTTCCATTGTTTTACAAAAAATAATATTGATCAAACGACATATAGATATATAAAGTATTTTGAAATTAGTACTGTGAAATTACATAGTTATAATTTTTTATCCATAAAAATATTAGGTCAATCATTTTTAATGCATCAAATTAGAAAAATGATTACTTTAGCTGTAGAAACATTTCGTAAAGCTACATCAAAAAATTCCATTTATTTTTGTTTAAATACAAATAGATATATTCCAATTTCTTTGTTTCCATCTGATGGTTTAATTTTAATTTGCCCATATTTTAATTCCTATAATAAAAATATATGTAAACCACCTCATAGCTCTCCAATATGTTTTAATGAAAATGAAGAAATAAAGAAATTCAAGGAAGAAAAGATTGGAAAATGTATTGTAGAGAAATTAGAAAAAAATGTGTAAGTTTTTTTAATACATTATTAATTTTCAATTTTAAAAATTATTTTTAATAATTAAAATATGTAATAAAAAAAAAAAAAAATATATATATTTTTTTATTATTTCTTTTTATAGATGGAAAGAATGGATTATTAAGATGAATCATTATCCTTTTATTTATCATTTTATAAGGGAAAAACTAAATAAAAACTATAATCTATAGTTTTATTATATTACTAATGAAAAAATGGAAATTAAGAAAAGTAAATATTCCTTTATTTTATTATTATATTGGAAATTTCTTTTTTTTTTTTAACGCTTTTTGTTTTGGTAATTGTGGATAATTGTAAAAATATATAAAAAGAGATCATTTTGAATTTCTCTTTTAGAAAATAAATAAAAATTAATTTTTTAATTTTTTTTTTAATAAATTTTTATTGAATTATATTTGTAAATAAAATTATAAATAATAGAATATTTGTTATTGTTTTAAAAAAAATAAAAATTTTACTCTAAAAAAAAAAAAAAAAAAAAAAAAAAAAATATATTATATACAAATTATTATAATTTAAAATATTTATTGTTTTAAAATTTATATGAAATTAAAAAATAATGCATAATACTTTTGTGTACAAAAAAAAAAAAAGAAAAAAAAAACAATGAATTGTTAAAAAAATAATAACATTTTTTTCTTCAAATATAATGACTCAAATGATAAAAATAAATTATTATTTAAATTAATTTTCTTTTTTTTTTTTTTTTTTTTTCCGGG